CTCCCTGTTACGCACTCGTTCCCAACCAGGGCACGCCATTGCGCTGTGATAAATTCCTGCAAAATACCACACCCCTTATTCCATGCTACCTACCACTTTCCTAGATTTTCCCAACTTCCCACCACTTTTTACAGTTCTGGCATTTCCGAGAAAGTTCTATTTTTTTCCTCAAAATTTTGCTGTTAAGCGGGGGGAGGGGAGGGTGGAGGTCGTCAGGAACTAACCACTATTTTCAAGTACACTAGTGAAACGAGAAAAACCGCAAAAAACTCAACAACCGGGGAAAAAATTTTCCAACGCCGCAAATTCCTCTCAACGAGAAATACGACCCCACCCCCTCCCCAACAACGAGCACATAGCCCCCCCCCCCCTTTATGGCGTCCGTGAAACAAGATAAATCGACTGTCAAAAAAAATTCTTGTCAGACCAAATAGGCCTCCCTCGCTGTCAAATACGACCCCCTGTTGTGATTATCACAATGATGGCGTGCCCTGTTCCCAAGGCGACCCCATGGTACAGAATCGTGATGGGTTAAATGAGGGCATCAGTCTGAGCGAAACCCCTCACCCCTCCTCACCGAAATTTCCTCCTTCAGTACAACCCTTTCTCCCATCCAACTTACCGTCTTCCCTCAAACTCCTCCAACTCCAACCAATTTTTCCAGAAAAAATCCAGTTGTTAAAAAAAACTGAAGTTGTGCCGCGCAGGAGGGAGGTCGTCCCCAGTAAACTATCAAAATCAACTAGCAAAAGGACGCGTGATAGTATAGTAATTTCACAGAGCCCCAACAAGGACTTATAGCGCACGTGAAACAGGAAAACTGGCGAAAAATAAACAGTCAGAAAAACTCTCTTGCGGAGCGAAAAAATATCCACCGAAACTTTAGCCGACCCTCACCGAACAAATAATGAAGGCCCTAACCAGTTCCAACACCTACTGCGATCCCTGTGGGTTTCCCCCCAGCAATGTTGTACCCTGCCTGGATGCGATATCTGTGAGTTGATTCTCTCCTTATAGGTACATTAATGGATCTTATAGGTTAGGATGCAGCTCTGCTGTGTCAGTAGGCCCTCATGCAACAACTTCCGAGACACGTCCTCGATTTTGAAAGGATGCCCCCTCCGAGAAACGTTTTTAGGGCCAGCGTGGGTAGAGCAATGAAAGCCAGAAGGTCAAGCTGGTTTGGCTAGCGCAGAAAAGTTAATACCAAGCGTCCACACTTCAGAGACTCCCGTCGGGCTTATCAGGCTGCGGAGAACTCGATAAAGCGCAACTTTTGATGGCGAGAACTCACTTCACCTCTGCGATTGCCTGGACCGTCAGGGACTTTTTGTGAAGAGCTAAATGTGGTTTCCTGGTTGTGGTTAGGAAAATGGTCAGCGCTGCGTTAAAGGTAGCGATTCATGCGTTCGAGTTATTCATAATGACGAAAGACGATTTCGATCTTCCCCACATCCGTCCCCATCTCGAGGGTAGCGGACAACCCAATCTCAAGAAAACGAATTTCAATGAATTGGGAATTGTACTACTGCTGATAATTGAGCCGGAGGGCTTGAAGCCCTCTCGCCTCAGCGAGCTGGTTGTCTGATTTGTGAGCGGTATGGGGGTCGTGTTGATCCCCTACCCACAGTTTCTCATCTCCCGTATCACGGTGAAGTGCCCTGATGTAGCGTCAAGCTTTTTCAGCACTCTTTCATCCACATTCCATACGATTCTACTTTCTGATGCTCCTGGCGATCGGATTCTGTTGCACGACTTACATGAGAATACACTTGGCTATCACTATGACATGCATGGTCAATTCGACTGCTATAGCTATTATGGATGATGAAGCCTACCATGCAGAACACTCGCTTTTCACTACGAACACTACGGTGGACTATGAAGAGGTAATCACTGTGTATTTTTGACGAAGCGGGGACACTTTGGTCAGAGTTAGAAGATTCATTTTCTAGGGCTAAGTGCAAACCAGCTTCACTAGTGAGACTTTACTGCAATATACAACAAGCTTTTCCATACCAAAGGCTATGTTTCCCAGCAGCGTTCAGACCGCGATGACGCGCGTCAACACGCTGTGACGCGCGACGACGTGCTGTGAGCGCTGTAAAGCGTTATCTTCACCCCGTCTGGCACCCTCCCATCTCCATCTGCTGAAGCACTGACGTCCGGTGTAGGTCGATACCAGACTGCTCGATAAGGCAAGGCGTACCCTCCTATTCCCCCATACTCCATCGAAAAAGCACGTCCCGTCTGCGCTCCCGTTCGTGTCTATAACACTAGAGCGCTGCAGCAGTTGTAGCGCGCCGACACGCGTCGAAGCGTGTAACAGCGCGTCGACGCGCGTCGTCGCGTAGTCTGAATGCTGCCTTCTGCTGGATCCGCGCTCTTATAGAACTTGGTAAGATGCGGCAAATCTTTTGTCCCTCCCCTCCTCCACAGGCAGAAAAGATCGGATGATGCATCGGGTGACCTTCGCAATTTGCTCCTGAAGGTCAACATAAGGACCAAAATTACACTTTCAAATAAACACGACTGCACGTCCTCCCCTGCCTTTTCAGGACACGTCCAAGGGACGACTAGGCAGCATCGAGCCTGAGCATCGAGGTTTACTCCATTCGTTGCTTTTTGACCGACTACCCGGCCCTGATGCTGCTACAATGTTCTGAGTAAAAACGTTACTGAGAAAAAAATTCCAGGAAAATTCAACTGTGCGGGATTCTCAATGCGAAAGACGAGCGATGACGGACATCCCAATTGTTGTCGATTATGGAGTGGGCATTCCTATATCATATGAGATATTTTTCCTCCCACGAATATATGTATCTTGCAGGGCACGTTGATATGGTCACATCGAACACAGAACCTTATATTCTCGGGTACTTTCTGGGGTGCCCTTTTGGTGATTGGTCCATCGATGCTAATCTGGCACCGCTGCTCACCTCGTGTGGTGCTCATGACCGCGATGATTTCATACGTCGTGGTAACTTTTGCCACGCCCTTTCTAGCCATCTATGTCGGTCCCATAGCCGTGTTTTCCGGACGAGTACTCATGGGATTCGGAGAGGTGAGCATCCTTATGGAAGTGTTCACTGTATTCAAATACTACATCACATTTTAGTAAGTATCCCTAGAGGATAAGTTAAATGAACAAGTTTGCGCTTAAATGAGGAGGTGATCAGCCGGAAGGTGGAAGGGGGAGGTGAGAGGGAGGCCAACAGGCATTCTGCACTTTTGCTAGATCTTCTTGCTGGTTCATGTTAAATAGCAGGTTACACTTTCGTGAGACCTGTAAGGTTTTGTGAATGTGCAAAATGAATTAAGAAGAGGGGGCAGTTCGGCGACGGGGGGGGGGGGCATTTTGCACTTTTGCTACTTCCCATCGACGTGTCGACCCATCTAGAGAGCCTTTTCTTGAGTTGACAGGTTTTACCATGATGGCTCGACGAGCTTGCTCCAGCTTCACAAGAGTTCACAGGTTTCACCAGGTGAGACTCTGAACCTGGACTAGTGAAGCAACGAAAGTGCAAAATGCCCTCCTCCCCGTCGTCGAACTCCGCCCTAGGAGAATCTCTTTGATTACAAGGATTCACAGGGATTCACGAGATGGCATCCTTATCCTTGGTGCTATATGGTGGGCACCCCTCCCCCCAGACCGATCCGCCCCGCAAGGGAAATGTTGCGATCTGTGCTTTATATGTAATGCAGGAGGTGTTCTACCAATGATAAGGTGTGAGTAGGTCAAAAGGTCAAAATGGGCAGTCGGTTGCAGGTTGAAGAAGACAGGCGTGTGAATCACTGGTGAAAAGCGGGATGCCGTCCCACGCAGCGCAGTCCTCCTGGAACGCCCTAGCGTCGGAAGCGGAACGACAAAACGATTTCCGTAATTCTATTCGCTGAGACCCTTCAAACGTTGCGCGAATCAGTTGATCCGGAAGACCACTTTCAACGGCTTTTCCACGGCCTCTTTAACTTTGCTACATTATTGTACACTATTACATTATTATGTGCTACACTTTGCCACAGAATAGCTCCAAGAATTTCAATTTTGAGCGACCATCACACACTGCCGAAGATATATCTTTCAAATTGAAGCAGAGCACGCTAGGGGGCATATTACGGCTTGATGAAAATTGTGTCTCTTTTTCTAAAAGTAAGTGTCAGGGTTTCTGGAATTTCCATGTCATTTGTTGAAATTCAGGGCTTCGTGATACCGTCTTTCAACGCCTTGATCTCCAATTGGTTCCCAGTCGAAGAACGCAGTACAGCTCTAGCAGTCTACACGACTGGCAATCAAATAGCCGGTACCAAATTCATGTCCTTCAAAATAACACATTGAATTGGCAAACAGCTAGTTGAAGTCAGCTTATATGGCACTGATTGCTCAGAAAAAGTAGACGAGCGCAGTTTGCCGACGGGGGGGGGCATTTTGCACTTTCGTTGCTTCACTAGTTCTGGTTTACAAGTCTCACTCTGGTGAAACCTGTGAACTCTTGTGAAGCTGGAGCAAGCTCGTCAAGCCATCATGGTAAAACCTGTCAACTCGAGGGAGGCTGTCTAGGGGGTGGGGCATTTTGCACTTTGACGAGCTCCCATCGACGTGGGTCGACACGTCGATGGGAGGTCGTCAAAGTGCAAAATGTCCCCTCCTCCACAAACAGCGCCGAAGATGGTTTAGAAAATCCGTTTCAAAGAGGCCAAAACATCCAAAAACTTCAAACCTTGTCAGAATTTTTGTGGCAGTGGTTCGGTACTCCTTTTTATAAATCCGAAGAAAAATTGGAAATTTTAGCATTACTAAAAATGCCGTTGTAATATGTGTTAAATAGTAACATGTAAGTCTACATCTAGGAGCTGTTGGCAATCCACTCTCAGCTGCATTATGTGCGTCCTCGTTTGGATGGCCAAGTGTTTTCTATTCCATTGGTTAGTTTGCTTTTCACAGCTTAATTAAAATTCGAAAAAAAGCTTATAGCGTAATCAACCCTTTGCACCCCCACTTTCTAACGAGTGTCGTTCCTGGAGACAGATTGGGCAGGAACTTCGTCATAAATTAGTAATTTCATTCCTTGAAGACATATTGTGATTAGTTCGTGGGCTCTCGGACGTTATATCTATTCACAGATGCTAAATGACTCACTAGTAAGGAAAAGGATAGAGGAAATCCCGGAAGGCGCCCCGAGAGGGGTCCCAGCATTGAACGAGTACTCGAACAAGGGAGACATCCCTTTCAAAGAAAGCAGGATAGGATACGTGATCGCTGCTGCAACCTTGTTGTATCCATCCATACTCGTTTTCGAGGCTAGGGTTATTCCCAGTAGCGTCATCGAAGGAGGGGGTAAGGAGGGGGCACTCACTTACGCCTCCGTGCCCCTTCCTTTGATCAAGGTTGGAGACCATATCTTCTCTGCGGGAGTATTCTTTGGCGACTGTGGTTTAAGCCTTCCCAGCTTGGGTAACGAATAGAGAGGTGCAGTCGATGGATCCTCCCCACCCCTCTCCCCAACTAAGTTAACGCCTAGAACTTTTTCCTACCGCCCCTTCGTTGAGCTTACAATCCACTTATTATATGCTTGATTTCTAGCTACTTTCGGTAGTTTGTGGTGTGTTCTGTGGATATTCACTTCAACAAATCATCCAAAAAACTGCAAGCGGATGTCACGGGAAGAGCAGCTGTATCTCAATAAGAATATTGTACACAGTAACAATCGGAAATCTGTAAGTACATTGATATAGCTCTACAATGAGAAGAATAGAGTACACGAGTAGTAAGCCAGAGTGTATTGGCGATGTTAAAGGCAGACTGTACACCCACATCCAACGAA